ATCAGATCTGTAGAGACTGTAAAGACACTCAGTCCAGCTCATCTGTATCTTCACATTCACACTCATCACCAACAGATCTGTAGAGACTGTAAGACAGTCAGTCCAGCTCATCTGTATCTTCACATTCACACTCATCACCATCAGATCTGTAGAGACTGTAAGACAGTCAGTCCAGCTCATCTGTATCTTCACATTCACACTCATCACCATCAGATCTGTAGAGATCACAGAGAGCAGTAACCTGTTTCATCCAGATATTGGAGACAATCTCGTCCCTGTAGTTAGACAGAAAGGGACCCATATAAGACAGGAACGCAGCAGCCAGCAGACAGTCTCCAACCAGGTATCCCATGGCTTCCTCCAGACCCTGCCAGAAACAACACCACCAAACAAATCCGTTTCAAAATTTTGTATTCACGCAACAGGCACGTCCAGTTGTTTAGAAACTTGGCTTTACCCCTCTACGACAAGGCGGTGATTGAGGGCATGCTCCTCACAGGACAGCGAGTGCTGACTGGAAGAGCAGGGCACCTTTCGCTAGTTTCACTGTTGGCCCACAGGCTCCCTGTCTCCCTAGTGCTCACTACTGCACCCTACCCTTGCCACCTGTTACCCATCACCATTAGAGAAATTACAATCCCACTCAGCAGGCCACACAGGCCAGACTGATGGAGAATGTAACAGGCATTAAGCGCAAAGCCAATGGTTACCTCAATGTCTACCTAGGCAGCGTGCTGCTCTGTGTAAGACCCTTCAACTCCCGGAACACACAGGCGGACAGCTAGAGGGAGATTTAGGATAGAATTTTTCCCAGGTCCGGGATCGGCCGTACTTTGACAGTTTCCTCCCAGCGGACTCTCTCCCCCGCCAGCCCGGACACCAGTTTGCCAGCCCGGTCCAGTTTGATCTCCATGTCCTCAGAGCGCTTCCGGAGCTCCTCCTTCTGGGCCAGCTTCTCATCGTACTGCTTCTTCAACTGCTCCAGCCTCTCCGCCACCTGCGCCATAGAACACCAGGACCGAGGGTTATCACTGTAGCACATGCTACGCCAGCTTTGAGCTTCTTGAACAGAAAGGCAACCAAGGGTTAAACTAGTGCTGAAAATGTGGGGCTCTGCTTATATGAGAGTTGTCCGGGGGAGTCTGGAACAAACCCCTCAGCTGTGTATATTTGAGGCCAGAGTTGTACGGGGGAGTCTGGAACAAACCCCTCAGCTGTGTCTATTTGAGGCCAGTTGTTGAGTGAGATAGATCAGCTGGTGATCAACCAATCAAAATAGCTGTTTGCTTCCTTTAAAACAAAAACCCAAAGCCAATTGCAATGTTGCTTCCACCCTCCTCATCAGCCTCTAGTGTTAAAGAGTGTGCCTGGTCCTATACATTCCAGCAGGAGTCCAGCATAAGAGCCCCTGCCGAGAGGCATTAAAATGGAGCAAATAAGAGGTGGAACCAATAGTATCTATTACTTGTTTAACAATCTTGGGTATATGTGCAATGCTACAAACAAGGTGAGGCCATTCTGTCTGTACAGTTTGTTCAGTTATGGGGTAGCTAAGTAATCTCAGGATGCCATTCTACTGCTTCTCAAAGGGTCGCAGGGAATGGTCTTCAACCACATGACTGGGAAGCTTGTTCCAGACACCCACCACTCTCTGTGCAAAGACGCAGCCATTGTTCTCAGTCCTGAATGCCCTCTGCTCCCACAGCCTCCCTCACCTCTTTCAGCTTGGCTTGTGCCTCGGCCAGAGCGGCCTGCTTCTCCTCCAGCTGTGCCATGGCTCCGTGGAGACGCGCCCGCTTGGGCTCCACTACACGGAAAATTCGCCCGTACACCTGCCAGGGAAGCAAGAGAAAACCAGCAAAGCTCAGGCCACTGCCACGCCCCACACAGAGTCCAGTCCTCTTCCCCTGAACCGCACTGAGGCACTGAGCAGCAACATGGGCAAAACACACAGCAATAATAATAAGAAGAAATAATAATACATTTGATTTTATAGCACCTTTAAATATAGCATCTTAAAGCACTTTATAGTACATGTTAAAAATAGCAAATTACAGAATAAACATACAAGAAACAGAAGCAGAGAGAGGCCCAGCAAAAGATACATGGTCATTAGAAAATGGATCAGACACAGATATTAAATAAAAGACTTTCTGAACAGAATGTTTTCTAGTCTGGATTTAAATGCATGCAGGGAAGTAGACTCTGATGTCCTTGGGGATAGAATACCAGAGCTTTGAGATCTGTAGCCAGAAAGTATTGCAAAATATGGGATCAAAAGGTCAGAAAAAGCATCTCACTTTTTATTCTAGTTCCTCTAGGTATTCTATTTACACTTTTATTCATATTCTAGTCTTATACAACCAGAGTTTCAGGTTTATGTATTACGCATAGAGAGCAATCAGACACCTGCTGCACAGCAGCTGCAGAATGTTCCTGTGTAAACCGACACAAAGTGCTGAGGTGCTGATTTCATGCATGCTGTGTACAATATAGACCTCATTCTGTAAAATTCGAAATGTTACAAACTGCTGTATAATGTGTGGATTCTAGGGGAAAAGGCAACAAGAGGAGCCCATGGCAGTCCCTAGGCCTAACTGTACCTAGCTGCACCGGAGTGCATTGTGGAGCTTGTGCCCATCCCTGCAGTACATACAGAGTGTTAGTGAGCTGACACAGGATATGCGGCTCTCACCTCCATGGCGCGAACCCACATGCAGAGTGACTTCGCCGCCAGCGAGACCCGGCCAATGATCTCGGGTTGGAAGTCCGGCTGGGTGCAGTACTGACCGATTTTCTTTAGGACCCGGTCCGAAATGTTGTCCTTGTCAAAGTGGACCAGCTGTTTGATGAAGTTTGACTCGCCTGGACCACAAAGAGATATCAACTGTCTGTATCTCTCACTCTCCATCCCATCCTCACGCTGTCTCCCTCCCTTCCCTCGAACCAGCTCTCTGTTACCACCATGCTTCCCTCTGATTCTGCCCTGCTGCCCTGGCTCATGTTTCTGCCCCGTTCCTCTCTGTGTGTCTCACCCAGCTGTCTCTTGGCCTCGGCCCAGGTGGGCTCGTTTCCTCTCAGGATCATGACCGCCTGCATCACCGTCTCCACCAGGGCGGGGGGGCGGCCGTAAGACTTGATCTCCGTCATGTCCTTCTTATTGAGGGACTCCAGAGCCTGGGAAGAGAGGCAGAGAGGACGGCCAGGTGAGAGGAGAGGGAGAGGGAAGGGGAGCAGGAGATGGAGACAGAGGAAGAGCCAGGGGGGGAGGAGAGAGACAGGGGGGATAGAGAGAGACAGGGGGGATAGAGAGAGGAGCGACAGAGACAGAGGGAGATGGCAAGAGAGAAGCAGACATGAAAGACAAGAAATGAAGGATAAAGACAGAGAGGAAAGGTGAAAAGGAGTGAGTGAAAAGGAAAGATTAATATCTATAAGCAATCAATAACTCCGCAGATAAATCCTGCACCATTTTATCACATCATAAATTTTGCTGCAATCTGCCCTGTTCTGATGTGATGTAAAAAGTCTTTCATTCTAAAGACTCTTCCTAACCCAGCATAATCTTATTAGACCAATAAAGATTTGGGTTTTCTGGTTGGCACTGTACAATGAATACTGAATAGTTTGGAACAGGAGCAGATGGCTTGATTTCTAAATTAAGAACAATATGCGCACTGGACACCTCCTTCTCCCTGGTCCTACCTTCATGGCCTCCTCCAGAGCAGGCAGCGCCTCGTCCAGGTCTCTCTGAGCATTGTCTGCCATGGCCTTGCATTTGATCTCCTCCGCACCAATCTTCTCGCTATGGGCACTCACAGCCTGGCACACAGTGGTACAAAATCACTGGGCTATACTGTTGTACAATGTCACTGGGCAGTACTGTAGTAAAACTTCACTGGGCTGTACTGGGACGGTATATCACTGTGCTGTACTGTGGTACAATGTCACTGTGCTGTACTGTGGTACAATATCACTGGGCAGTATTGTAGTACAACATCGTTAGGCTGTCCTGTGGGGCAAAATCACTGAGCAGCAACTTTCCAGCCACAGGCGCAGATCCTTAGCCACAGAGCCACCGCACCGCCCCACAGTAAAGCAAAACCCAACAGAATAATGGTAAACACAAGACACATACCATGACACAGCTATTTAGTGGCAAATTTCCAAAAGTGGAAAATTGTTACTACTGGCCCAACATATCTTGCGAGAGAATGAGAGTGTCCTCTGACCTTCTGCTGCTCGTCCGCCTCCCGTTTCTGCTGCACGATGGTGACCAGGTACTCCTCGCACTGCTTCTGGAACTCTGCCACCTTCTTCTTGGCCTCCTCCAGCTCCACGGACATGGCCTCCACCTTCCCGCGTGTGTCATCGATCTTGTACAGGCCTGTGCGCAGCTTGGACACCTGGTCACCCAGCTCGGCCCTCTTCTCCGTCAGCAGCCTGGGGCAGCCAGTGAGACGTTATTAAAAGGGTCATGACTTCCTTTAACCCCACAACCTACATAAACCAGCATATTTACACTGTGGTTCTTTTTATCTATACATACCTACCAACAGTCTATTTATTACCATGATATCATCTGACTGTCTTTAAGCACATAAAGTTTCCACCTGTCTGTACCTTATCCATTGCTTTTTACATTCTTGAGGCAATGATCAATGCATTTTTTGAACAGGGTTTGTCACAGGGTCTTCATTTAAAAATGTGTTTTAAAAAGCATGCATTGTGGAGCTCAATATATTATCCAATTGCTCCATGTGGATGAATGAAGAAGCCAACAAGCCCATTTCCATCAGCCCAACCACCTGTCTTCACCCCAGGCTGCGCGCGGACGAGCACACGGTCGGACGCTCGGGAGAGAGCCTCACTTCTTGTATCCTGACACCAGCTCCAGGTAGTTGGTGGGGGTGACGTAGTTGTGCCTCCGCAGCTCCAGCTTCATCTTTTGGGAATATTCCGCTACCGACTGGTGCACCGTGACAAAGATGTGTGCGACTTTGCTGTGAATCTGAGCAGAAAGAGTGAACACAAATCAATCCTCATACAGAGAAAGGATAGACAGGCGACCTCTTTACCTGTACGTACAATACAAGCTGACATTCTACCTGACCCGCTAATGCCCCACTGTACATGCTCATTCCGTATTAATTGTCCAGCTTCTTTGCTAAGCTACAGAACTTTTCCTTGAGAGGGACAGTTTTTATTAAATGCCAGCTATTCTGAGGTATCCTGAAACTGTGTTCCTAGATGATCAGTGGGAATGTGTACATGCAATGTGTGTTCTGCGATCTGGGGAGCACCTGAGCCAGCGTCTGTGCGCCTGTACGCTCTGATCAAACTCGACGTCCTCACTCACCCCCTCGATGGGTCCCAGGGCCAGTCCCTCCAGGTCCCTCTCCGCCACCTCCAGCAGGGCATCCTGGGGCCACTCGGAGAACCAGTCGATGGTGGTGCAGTTCACCAGGGCCGGATACTGGCGGAGGCGGTTCCTGAGGCGCACAGACACCACGTAGCCAGTAAATTACAACTGGGAAAGGACTCAGGCAGGTCAAACAAGCTACAGTGTATAGAAATGGATCCACACACTAATAAATAATGGTCTTGTGTTGATCAGAAATCACGTGGCAGAAAGGAGAACTGCGCCTCCTGTTTGCAGGAGATGAGGTGGAAGACTAGGATTAGGACATACAGTACAAACATAAGCGTGGTAACAAATCACGCTCGTTTGATTGCTGAGCAACCGATCCAAGGATCTCATCCAGCCATTTCACATAAAAAAATCAAGGTATCATCTTCGACACTCACAGTGTTGTTGTGGAAAGAAGTGCTTCCTGAATGAAACCTCCTGTTGATTCACTGCTAAGTATAAACACTCCTTTGCTTGTCTATAGCCCTCTGTATACAGTACATGGATCAAGTTCCTTTGTAGTCTCCCCTGTTAAAGACTGGCAAAGAGGAGTGGGAGACATTCTCCACTGAGGGTATTGTTTCCTTCACCAGACAGGCCTGGGGGACGGGCTGCTGGAGTAGTATCGAGGGCTCAGGGGGGTATGTACCTGAAGGGGTCTCCCACGGGGCTCATACACAGCACGATGTGCAGGTTGTTCCTCACTCTCTCAATCAGGTAGCTGAACATGCTGTCCGGAGTCTCAGGCACGCCGTCCGCCCGCGCCGCATCCCCCAGCGCGCTCTGAATCTGGAGAGACAGACAGAAGAGATGAGAGAGAGCTGGTAACAGTTACAGGAGGGGAGAGAGATCAAGTGGGATGAGCAGGGGAACGACAGTGGGAGAGAATAAGTAAGGAAGGGTTTTTGTTAAGGAAAAGAGAGTTGGAGAACGGGAGAGGGGGATCCTCCACTCAGTGCTCACTCTTCACTCTGACCGGCTGGTGGACAGAGGCGACATGGAAGCCTGACAGATTGTGTTGTGTTGCAGGAGAAAAGGCAATTTTAACTGGCAGGCTAGGCCTCACCTCCTCAAACTCATCGGGCTTGTACATGCTGGGCACCTCCCCTGAGCTCAGGATGTTGTTCACATCCTCCAGGAAGGACTCATCCACCACCTGTGTGTCATTGAACAGGAAGACAGTGGGCTTGTTGTCCACACCTGTCTGTCGGTACAGCTTCTTAATGTCTGGAGGGGAAAAAAATGCATCATGAAAAGCTATGCTATAGGCCATGGATCATTATCAGCCTTAATAATGTGGCATAGTTAAGCCTTCACATTTCCCTTTGTCCAGATATATAGCATGAACAAAAATGGCATCCATTGTCCAGATAGGCCCAATGCATGCTTAATAAATTAAAGTTGATATCAGGAGCTTCTGGAACCTACTGTTTAACACAAAAGTGTTGAATTTAAGGCACTTTGATGTAAACATATTTTGACTGAATGAGTTATGGCATGGCAAAGAGGGAGACTGTATCATCCTCTGAACCACACCTGCTGTGATGCACCATCGCAAGAGCAGAGCCGCCCACACTGACCTTCCCTGAACTCCTGCTTGCGGTACTGCTTGGTGACCTCGATCTGGAAGACCTTGTAGTCGCAGATGTAGGAAGCAAGGCGCGAGAGGCTCTGCCGGCCCGAGCCCCCGATCCCGATCAGCAGCATGTTCCCCCGCGGCTGGCTGATCACGCGCACCACACGGGTAACTGGCAAGCAGAGCAGGGACAGCATAGGCACAGGGCACGAACAGACCACACTAATACAGAGCATCAGCGCATTACTACAGGGCACTGACAGCACACAGGTCGCACTGACTGTTTGTGGGCTGTACTCTCAGTGTAACTCTGGTCTCTCAGTGCAGTCAGGAGTATGGGTGTTGACTGTGTGTGGGCTGTGCTGTCAGTGTAACTCTGGTCTCTCAGTGAAGTCAGGTCTATGGGTGCTGACTGTTTGCAGGCTGTACTCTCAGTGTAA